ATAACACATGCTTCAGAACATCTTATCATAGGACACAATTAGTCTTGTGAACATGCGATTTTGCTCGAGACCAATCAGGCTGCGCTAACACTAACATGACGTGACCTCTGGTCAGTATTGGCAGAATGCTGCATTTCTGATCTTAGCTTGTAATAGGCTTTGACTCTATCAGCTCAGGGCTTTAGCGTCTATTTCAATGCAGACGAGCCCTGCACAGCTTGATTTGTATTTAAAAGAAGCTTTGAATCCTTTAATGATAATCTTATCCCGGGCCTGTTGTTTGTCTCTTCATACAGTTACACTAGAGCATACAGTGGCATTAGCATACCTAATCCTGATTACATGTGAAACCAAAATGGTGGAGCGTAGACTTCAGTGAGTGAACTTTGGCCTATAGGATAGAGTGGAGTGGTTCTCACACATGGAGTAGGTGGTCAGTTAACAATCAGGGGTCAACGAGATAAACAACCTCCCTACTCTGCGATCTCTTTTTCTTCGTCTCCCATAAGCTTTCTTGATCAACAGCCATGCTAATATCACGTTAGCAATTAAGCAGAGTTGTGATTTTTCTTCTAAATATTTTATTGTTAAATCCTAAGGGAAACACTTCTGGATACGGTGCCCAATATTAACTTTCAGGCATTCTTGAATATCTTACAATATACTGATTAAAGGCAGACATTTTTTTAATTAAGGATCGTCTGGAGTAAATTTGGATCTCACGTGAGTATGCGAGGTGGTCAAACATCTTTGTCACAAACTGACTTGAGGTTTTCCTTCAAGGCTGAAAGACTCCGTAACTTCTGAGTGTCCAGATTATTTATTGTTGAAGATGGTTTTATGAGACACATGCATGGCTGGGAATGCAAAGAGGCTAACAAGGGAGTCTTCAGGAAAAATGAGCTGTCCTCCAGCCACACATTGAAAGCATTTGGGTCATTTCCTCTAGAGCATCATTTTGATTGGGAGATTATCACTCTGAGACAGCCTGCTAATGCTCAGGAAGCAGAGAACATATGTTGCTGATATTTTGTTCCTCTGTCATGCCCTAATAATGGAAACTGACCACAGCAGGAGAATTTAGCATTACGTAAAGCTGATTCTATTTGATTCATTATTATTGGATAATGAATGTCATATATTTTATTCTAACAAAGAACTACATTTATTACATGTGTTAATAGTCTCAGTTATCAGTGTGAAGAGCTGCTTTGAGTATCATGTGACTCCACATTTATTTTCATTAAAGCCAAATAGTAAATAAAGGGAAAAGGGAAATGAGACTGTTTTTGTAGAGGACATTGAAGCAGTCTAAAATACAACAAATTAGAAGCTTGCCGTTTCAGTTGACAATGTATATTCTTATAAGGCCAAAAAAATAGTTTCTGGAAAAAAACAAAAGGTGTCATTCCCACGATAAACTTAATTATAAATGATAATGGTGAATAGCATCGCAGGGAAGCATGCTTCCTAAAAATGAAGACAACATTTCAAACAGAAACTAAAATTCAAATTTCAAATAGAAACTGGCTAATTAAATCTTATGTCTGCAAATAAATATCTTGACCCAAATTGTCCAAGCTCATAATGCTCTCTTTGCAGGTTTTTGTCATTGCTGATCTTCTAAATGCAGTTGGTTTCTGGTGAGATTGACAGGACCAAGATGCTGCACGACCAAAGAGCAGCAAAAGATGGAAGACAACAAAGAAAGAGAAGAGTGGAGGGAGAGTAGCCATTTGGCTGACAGGCCCGAGGCAACGGGCGATGCAAGGCCTGAGCCACTACGATCAGAGAGCATGCAGATGATAAGTCTATAAATAGAAACATGCAGTGGGAGGGACAACAGCTAGTTCCTTTAATACGCTGCAAAAGGGTGGTTGAATATCTGCAGTGTAATGAGCTTTGTAGGACATGACCGCTTATTGTTGAGTTTGTTCCAATTTTGACCCAATGACATAAAATACACGAGGCTGACGACTATTTTGACCATTTCATGTTGTAATGAAACATCACAAGTTAGCTGCTAAACACACATGTCACCAGGCCAGTCTAAGAGATGTCAAGAAGCAGTTTTATCTGATAAATTTGTCAGTAGGAAAACGTCAATATATAAAATACCAATTCTTGCTGCAAGGTCTGCATTGATACCACTGATTATAAGTTTAAGCCATTACAAGACTTATTTATTGTATTTTTTTTCTGGGTTACAGCAAATACTTTGCAGATGTCTACATTCAAGTGGTTCAGTTTTCCGTTTTACAACAGATTATAAATATGATACAGGCTTAAATCTACAAAATCCAAGTAGATTAACATGCATTTTACAAAACCAGATGTCGTTTTACAAGAATGTTCTATTCTAAGTGAACAGAAGGTCTCCCCCTTTTTCTTCATATATGTGCTTTGTCAGCTTTCCCTAACCATACTAACCTCCTTCCTACAAAGATTATTTGCTAAAGTCATCACTGTAACTGGGCCGATTGTCAAACCATGTCACTGAATTATTGCTGCAACTGCAGCAGCAAAAAGAAACAGCACAGTGTGTACAGAAGTACAAAAAAAAACATAGAGGACAACATGCACACAATGATGAATGGCTGCTTACATAAAAGACCTCCGCAGGGTCAAGGTCAACTTTCTCACAGGCTTTGCTAGATTGAATTGACCCGCAGTGAGGTCAAACAAATGCTCAAACACCAAAACCTGAAGAGAAAATCGCACCACGTGACTCCATAAACTCTACTGCAATCTGATATAAGCTGCAGATGTCCAAAGTTTGGTGCCAGAGTGAATCTATGTCACTTGATAAGAACTGGCACAACTTGCCTATAATTACCCCAGGAAGAGTCATGAGTTGCAGCCCAAACAGCAGCAGGCCTGACCTGAGAACGTGTTGTTGCTTATAGCTGTTGTTCAACATTTTTACTGTGAGTGCGTCTTGGTTATATTCTCAATATGACTGTACATCTGAAACGAGGATGTAGCGAGGCTAATTTGGTCTCTTGTTTACTGCGTCCTCACATCACCATGCAAAGCGACAAGCAGGCAGAGCAGCAAACGATAGTCTCCTGTGAAAAGCTATCAAACCATCTCATACATAAATCATTGTATTCTATTAAGCTTAAGGAGTGACACACAAAAAAGCAAAAAGAATACCCCCCTGTTTTGATGTAGTACATTAAAATTGCATGGGAGGAGAGAGAACTCATCATCTCACAAGCAAGCAGCTTTGCCTCATTTTAAAAGGGAAAACAAAAGCAAGCTATCACAACAGGGAAACCATGCATAGGATCTAGTTTGCATCATGGCAACAATGAACAACAATGTTTTTTTTATTTACATCAAGCTAGAAGTTTTTTTAATTAACAGTAACCCTTAGCAGCCAGTTTGGCAACCTGAACACAGATTGAATAGTCCTGCAATAAGTCTTCGTTTAATGATACTTATTATTTTGTTTCCTTTTATATATACTGTTTATATATTTTTTTTTTATTACAACCACATGTCAGTGTGTATATTTAACATTAGAAGCCCCTCTGAGTAGGCTATAACGCATTCATTTGAGCTAGTTTTTTTAATGGCAACTTAAAAACATCAAGCATTCAGCTTTTTTTTAACACAAGTCTCATATATATTAACATTGTCAATTTCATTGGCACCATCAATATACTTTCATTTGTGTATTTGTGCTCGTCATAATAATACACAGCTCTATACATTTCATATTTTTCTTATTTGTACATCCCCCTCTTGCAAATTTGTTTCTAATCACATAGACTGACAGCAACAGATTGAACCAACAATATGTGCTGTCTGAACTCTTGCAAGCTATGATAAATTGTGTGCAGTGGGATCCCGACTGACACTTACTACCAGTATCATACAACAAAAACAATGTTTGTGGCTCCAGTCTTCAGGGGCCTTTTCCTCATCATTCACACTAAAAGTCACTTCCCCGTGGTTGTAATTTCTTCAGAAAGACTCCAACAATCACAGGCACAAACATCTGGCTTCGTGAAATATCTGCTGCCTGCCAATGCACACCGAACCACATTCATGCTCTGCAGCACTCCTGTTCAGAAATTCACAACTGATTATTGCTGTTGCAAAGTGACACTTCATAACCACAATTCAACTGCAAGCACATATGGGGTCTGAGACTTAAACATTATAGGCCTGATTATGATGAAGCACTAGGACAGAGAAGGACCTAATGTCGACTCAAGTCACATGACACATAGTTGACCTATTCGTCTGCACAGCTGAATGCCAAAACATGCTGGAATCACAAACAACATTATTTTTATTTTTTTTGAATGTTTTGAATAATTGATAAATTATTACATTGTTTAGTCTACATTCATTTTTGTGTTGGTAAACTGATAAACAGCTAGATCATTTCCCTTTCTGTGTCTGTCAAATGCAAGATAAATATAGCAAAGTGTACCAGAAATGTACCCCTGAAACACTGCAAATCATTTTATACTTTCAGGCATCATAAACCAATCCAGTTTCTGCAGCCCCATAAAAGACTTTCATAATGACTTGGACAGGATATGAACACAAAAACACAAGCTCTGTGGGTAGTTCCTCAATATCACATTCTTAAATAACAGCTATCATACCCTATATAAAAAAGCTTTGATGGCTGCATTGTATTTGGACTTTGTTTACTTCACGGTCCAAATTAAAAAGCAGACTTCACAGAAGTTAACAAATTTGGTAGCCGAAACAACACCCCAAGTTCAACTCTGACCCACGCCCAGATTTCGTCTCAGCCAATCAGAGGCCGCTTGTATTCGTGTCAAACCAATCAGCCACGGGAGGGCGGGGAGCTCGGTCTGTTGCTAGGGCATGTACCTGATGACTTTTGCTACTTCAAGCCAATAAAATCACCCCTCCGCAAATAACCCCTGTTCATAGGCTAAGACATGCGCGTCCCGCCTACAGCCGTCTCTGATTGGACGAATTAGTTAGGTGCTGTTGTTACTGTAGTTTGGAGTCAGCCAGACTAAGAACTGAATATAGCGACGCAAATACATCGCCCTGAACACTTTAGAAATCTCCATTCCATTATCTAATGACTTGTAAATTTGTGTTATAGATTACATCTATTTTTTATTTTATTTTTTACAACAGGACGACAACAAGATGGAACTTAATTCTCTTTTAATTTTGCTGGAGGCTGCAGAGTACTTGGAAAGAAAAGACAGAGGTATTTTCAAGCTACATTGACAAGTTGACAAGATGTGTAGAATAATGATTTTTGTGTGTGTGTGTGTGTGTGTGTGTGTGGGTGGTGGCTGTCTTATTCTATCAAAATGTGAAGTTGTAACGTGTCCTGCCATAGTGCAGGTATGATGTCACTTCACAGACAATGGGACCAGTCGATGGGTAGCCTACAAACTGGAACTATATCTTAAATGCAATATATCCAAACACTTTAAAGTATGTTATTTGTTTATGAACTGTGTGGCTGCATGTCTTATACAGGGCATGTGTTATATCGGGCTGCTCGCAGTGAAGTGTGGGTTGTGTGTCAGCTCTCTTCGGAAATGAGTAAACAAGAGTGACATTGAAAATATGAGCCAATATCGTAATGACAGATAATGGTGAATTGTTATGCAGTATTGTTTGTCTAAATATGAAACACTGCTGGAGGCTGTGCAGTGCAGAATAGATGTGTTACATGATCGATCACGTTTTCTTCTCTCTGATGACATGCTCGCCTCCACATAATTTTCATGTTTCACTATTTATCTAAATGTTTTCAACTGGACAGTCTAGTGGAAAAATCATACATTCATTGTGTGTTTTTGTTTTCTTTTTTTCTTTTTTTTTTAAAAAAGGGGCAGAACACGGTTATGCCTCCGTTTTACCGTACAGTGACGACTTTTCCAGAAAGAAAACGAAAGCATCGCCAATCTCCAGAAAAGCTCAGAACAATAGGTAAATATGCAACCCTTGTCTTTCTGAAGGTTTGTCACAAAAACAAACACGGACACGCACGCAGTGGAGTGTAGAGGGGGGGGGGGGGGGGCTGTTATCATGCACGCTGCCATCTCTGCTGCCTGGGCTGGGCTCTCTCTCTCCCTCTCTCTCCCTCTCTCTCTCTCTCTCTCTCACTGTTTTGGTCTTTCCAATAAACACTGCCACGCGTACACTGTCAACTCTGCTGCTGCCCCCTCTCCCTCTCTGTTTCACACACACACCTAAAACCCTCCCCATGCTGAGAGAAAAACACACACACACACACACACACACACACACACACACACACACAACATGCCTATAACCTCATGCTTCTGCACCCTGTCTCATAATTGACTGTTGTCACCAATGCAAACCTTTTCAAATGCCTAATTTTCATGTATTTTGTGTGTGTGTGTGTGTGTGTGTGTGTGTGTGTGTGTGTGTGTGTGTGTGTAATGTAAGTGTGATTGGTGTTGCATGAAAGTGAATGTCATTCTTTGAGGGGTCCCCTCTTGTTAAAAGTCACCCCGCCTCTCTCCCTCTCCTCCTGTTTTTTTTATTTTTTTTTTATGTCTGAGTCAGAGTGTCTGATGGCAAATCGATTCTGAGTTTCATTCTCCCCTCATTAAACTTTAATTAAGACGTGTTCCTCCTGACATCGGCCACATTTATATGCTGTCAAGGTCTTCAAGTAATATAAAAATACAGTTGTAATTATGACCATAAAATGACTCAGACGTACACTACAGTAAAGTAGTAAATCGATTTAAGTTTCAGTTTCGGTTTGACGTCCATCACGAGCCAGCTAACTTGTTAAAGGCCATTTAAACGCCAGCATGTTTACACGTAGGCAATCTCTTATCTGTGCGGTTATGAAACAGATCAGCAAGAGGCCAAAAACAGAGCTGCTTTTATATATTATTTTCTTCATAAATTCATCTGCTTAACATTTTTTTTTTTTTTTCCTGGATCGATTTATACATTGTTTTCATTTTTGACAAAAGTCCATGTCTGATAAAAGTCCAAATAAAGAGCCCAGATAGGGACATCTAAATTACCTTGTGTTACGCAACCATGAATTCAAAAACATCAAGGATTTCAGCACATTTCACTAATTCAAAGCTTAGTTTACAAGTTGTTCATCACCTTGTAGACCTCCACTGTGATGGTATGAAAGAGGGTTTCAATTGATTGGACCAATGTGTGACACGCCCTCATCAAGAATCCCTCTTCTCTGACATCATGTGACCCTGATTCTTCGGGCCTTTTACATGCTAGGCCTGGGCTACAATTGAATGAAATGCTTGCGGGGTTTGTAAAAAAAACAAAACTCTCTTAACTACCTGTGTTCTGTACTAAGAGTGTTTAATAGTGACGCTTTGCAGAAGAATTTGCACCACATGTCCTCCTTATGCGAGTTTCATTCCCAACAGCACTTTTACATCAAGATCTGATGAAAAAAAAAAAAAAGCTAAAATTTCCTGTTGGCTAATATTAGTTTAGGGAAGCTCAGTGAGCACTGTTTCCTCAGTAGTAAGTCTGAATGTTACGTCAGTGCACGTACAGCATGTTATCCAGTTGTATAATCTATCTTTGGTAATCGCACTTCTTTCTACAGCGTAGAGGCTAGTAAATAAGACTCGTTGTTTTAGACGGAGATGGAAAAGAAACGACCTTGTCCACATTCCTTTCTTTGACGCACTCACAGTTATTTAAACGTATATGTGTGTGTGTGTGTGTGAGAGACAGAGGGTGTGTGTGGGGATGTGGCAGGTGGGTGTGGTGGTTAAAACAGACACTTACACACGGTGACAAACACCAGCCCACTACCAGGCTCCGTGCACCACACCTGCTTTTCCCTCCTTTTTTCTCATGACTGCACTGTGGGCAAATTCCCCAATTCCCTTTATGCTCTCCCCCAACTCTCACACAGACTCTTTTTTTTTTTTTTTTATGAAGCATCAACAGGATGCCGGGGGGAGGGAAGTAAAAACATCTTACATGTTTGAACCCAAAAGCCGTATTTTAACCTCAACAGAGGCTGGCTGTTTGTTAAAAAAAAAAAAAAAAAAAAAAAGGCACAGTGCTTTACTTTGTTTGAGTGATAAATGGAAGTTATAGCATTTGATATCGTAACATGTTTTTTCTACTGTGTAATGTTCAGGCGTGTGAAAAAAACCAAAACACATGGCCGTCTTATTTCGGCACACAGTGAGACGAAGCCCTGGTGGAGTTTACTTTTGAAACTTGTGGGCTGTTGTTAGATCGAAATGTTTCCAAAAAAATAAAAAAAAACAGGGAAACCTGGAAGATTATTGGTAAGAGTTTTCCTGCGTCGCCTCCCTGTTATTCTAGGTATGAAATTAAATGTAAAAATAGCTGAGATGAGAAGAAAAACCCCCTCTTTTGTGTCACTGAATTCCCTCCTGTGAATGTAGTGACACGCACACAATGTGACCAGAGGATAAGCTCTGGCAGTCATTAAAAGGGTGATATGAGGCTAATGTAAAGACCTTTGATCAACAGGGCCAAGTGTATGACAAGCGTCTCACAGCCTCCTTTGCATGCCACACCATTCTTTTACATAATAGGTAAAGGTGTGTGTGTTAACCTGCTCTTATTACGGGTCCGGGAGCATTCCCTTCCTCTGCAGTCTGCTGGACGATTTCCTGGTCGTGCCCTGTGCTTTGTCTGGCAGGTTTTCCCCAAATATGATCAGGTTTGAATAGCAACACTTCATCCTTTGTCTGCCATTTGAATCAGGTTATTAGCACCTGTGTGACACTCTGTGTGCTGCATCCGGGTTGATTTTGTGCAGACGCCAAATCATCCCAGTACCACTGTAACCATTTTTTTTGGGTGCAGATGCCCTGGCCTCCTCCTCGGCACAGCTGTGGGAACCACTGCTAACGGCAGCACAAGGGCTCTCAAACAGCGGGGGGAAAAAAAAATAAAAAATCTGAAAAGGCTTGTTGTCAGTCTGGCCCTTTGTCGTTGCTGTTTTTGTTTTTATTGCCGTGGTATCCATGACGGTCTCATGAACAGAGGGCCTGTTTCAGACGGGCTGCTCTGCCCTCGATGCACACCAAGATAGCTGGGCTCTTCTCGTAATAGCCCACACGCTGAGGAATTCTGCAGTGGCCACCAGGCCGCCAGACGTCTGAGTGTGTTTTTTTTCAATTCCGCGTGCACGCAGCGTGCAACAACAACAACAACAGCAGTGTGTGCATGCTGTTTGTATGTGTTAGAGCAGGCAGGGGAAAGGGAGGGGGGGAGGGGGGGTTTCTAAGGGCCACATATCCTGCTCTATTTCAGGGTCAGTTTTGCCCTCTACTGCACACTCTCTGACAGATGTCACACAGACATGGAAAACTAGCCTTTATCCTTGCGCACTGAATGTCTGTTTCCTGAATGTGTGATCAAGACTTTGCGTTGCTTTTTTTATTTTTATTTTTTTTAGTCCTTAAATACGATGCATTTTAGAATAAACGTGCAGCAGATATCGCTTGGGTCTTGGAGTGTTACAACTTTGTGCTACAGCATAAAAAAAACATAAGGCCACATGAGGAAGAAAGAAAGAAAGAAAAAAATAAGCAAGGAAGAATCAAAGCCGTTCTTTGATGTCTGTGCTGCTTTTTTCTTTTCAAACTTCTTGCTGTCAGCTTTTAGATCTGAACTTTTTCTAACAAAGCCTCTCACCTGGGGCTTATTCACTACTTGCATCCCGTCTCTCATGCCATGCGATCTGATGTTTTTGTCTCGTATTTTGACAGTATGTTAGCGACTTGCATCACCGACACTCATCCTTGTCTTCCTCTCTGTTTACCCTTTCAGATCGTCGCACAATGAGCTGGAGAAACACAGGTAAGGCGCCAGCTGAAACTCTGTGACCACTGCATCGCTCACGTTTGTCCTGTTTACACGCACGTCTCTTCATTTAGCTCCTTACATTACTGAAGTGAAGGAATGCGTCAGGATTTCTCTCCTCTCAGTCGCGATTCCGATCAGAGGTCATCTTCGAAGAGATTTGATCAACTAATTCCTCGTGTCTGAAAAAGGATGATTGTGTGATTTCATAAAGCACGGCCTCACATCGATAAAATCCGTCTCTCCATTTCACGCTTTGAAAGTCGTTACCATGTATGGAGAGGGAACCCTGTCAGTAATGTGATAATCCTGCCCAGGCTGACGCTGTGAGCAGAGGCGGGGTAAAATCTGGTACTCGCTTGTCATTTGTCCAAACTGAGAGGCCCACAGATGGCACAAACACACACAAACAAACTCACATGCATCACACTCAAGCTCACAAAAAACATGGCATTTCTTTTCCTTCTTTTTTGGAAACAGCTTTTGGGTGATGTACCACCAAATTTCTGTTTTTGCTTTTTTAACCAACTCGGGAAGAAACTTCACAGATCCAATGGAGGCTTCTTGTAAGAGGGCAAAACCTTTCTTCATTACAAAAAAAAAAAAAAAAGACGATGCTTAAGGGAAGTTGTTGTTGCTTCAAAGTCATCTGAAGCTGATTCTTAAAGCACTGCCCGCACAGAGGATCTTTTGGAAACAGCTGATGTGATCATTAGCCTGTGAGTGGAGGTTGGGAAAGGCGTGTGTCTTTTTCTTTTTCAAGGCTGCATATGCATGACACACACTGTCACTGACGTTGAGGGACCAGGGTTTGCCAGTCACATGTCTGGGAGGGAGTGAGTAATGGCTGCGTGTGCAGTGCAGAGAGAGAAACAAGTGCAGGCATATTCCTCCTCTGACCCGAGACGCAGAGAACGACCTCGGCTGATTACACTGCAGGTGTTGAGACACTCAAAAGTTACCTCATGTCCGGGTGCCGGGTGTGGTCAGAGTGACGTCCAGGCACACCAACAGATTTACCAGTAAAGGTTTTCATAATCAGTTTACGCACTTCATGTGTCATCACTACGGCCGCAAATTTCTTAATTTTTTTTTTTTTTTAATCTTTAAACGCGGAGCAGAGTCATGACTGTCATGACGAAATATGTCACTTCCTTTACTTATTTGGTCATCACAATGGTCACATACATGGCTTAAATACGTGCAATTATTTTGAATCTACAGAAAAATCAAACATAACCATCTCAAGAAGAACATCTCATAACAAGACACTAAACAAGCTACATTTCCACTTCATACAATCGATTCAGGCCATTTTTTTTTATTGCATTTCAAATCTAGAAATAAGATGTTTATCTGGACTTTTATGGTAAATGTGGATTATGATAAGTGTAATGAGATATTTTTGACAAGAAAGAAGAAAAAAAAAAAAAACACTCATTTGAGTTTTTGGAGAGCAGATTCTCTATCAATACTTTTCGTTTATCCGCCAGTGTTTTTCCTGGAACATGATAATGATAGCCCTGTAGCGACGAGGTATTATTGGGATCCATTGCAACATCCTGTCTGGACCTGCGGCCGTAAATTACATGCTCATTACTCCTATGTACAGGTGTTAAGGATCTAAACTTTGACTTCAGGGTTTGGCACATTTACAGTACAGTAGAGTTGTGCAACTTGAGTATTAAGGGCTTGAATTATTGATTTGTCAACTGGGAATGAATGGGCAGCCATATCGATGTTCTTTGAAGTCAGTTATTGGAAGATACTTGCTGGTAACAGCTTCTCAAGTGTTAGGATGAGTGCAGGTTTTCTCCCTCCCATCACAGATACTCAATGTTTTTTTTTTTTGGTTGAAGTGTTTTGTAAAATGTTCAAATGCACATTTTCAAAGACAAAAGAGAGTATCAGAATGCGTTCTTTAGATGAGCTCCAGTCCTGCCTGGATGCCTTTTTTTAACACAATGGATCCAGCATTGTCAGTCTCCTCACGTGATCTCTGTCTTTCTGTTGCTGATTCATAAGAAAACCTAAAGTCTGCAGCAGCTGTCCTGTTCGACCTGTTCTCACGAGTGTGTGAGCAGCATTTCGTTAGCAGTTATTTTTACATGACGGCCCTGTCTGATCTCCAGCAGTCCCGGTATCGCTTCATAGAGGCCGGACCTCCCTCACGCCCCGTAACGCCGCTGCAGGGAGGTGCTGCTGTCTGAGGCCTGACTCACTGTCTTTGTTTGGTCATGTGTCGGTGTGTTTGGTTCACGCTGGCGCAGCACAGAGCCATCCTTGTGCTCTTATGTTCACGTGGTAGACAAGGTGACTGATTAATGTTTGGCTTGAGCGGAAAGCATCAACTTTGTTGTGAATAGTCAAATCGTGGTTTATTAATGTCAGCAGGGGCGGAGAGCAAAGTCTCTATTTTACTTGATATTCTGCAGGAGTACCAACATTGTTTGAATCTTCTTTATGTCAGTTCATGAGATAACATTGTACAGTCCAATGTTCAGTAACAGCACACACACATGTCTTTTAGGGCATTCCATAAGTGTCCATACAATGTCTGTGTGTAGTTCAGATGTTCAGGAACAGGTAGTACTACTTGGTTTTGATAGGACTATGAGGTTTTTTTTTTTCAATCCCCACTTTTTAAGACAAATATGGCAAAAACATGTTTTTTTTAATACCAGCTAGCTGGCCAAATCTAGGCTCAAATGTGTCCCTTGTTGTGGATCCTTTGCATGTTAGGTGTCCCCTCGTGAAACCGCCCGCTGTCTTGGCAGCTGCTCAGGCGGCGCCCTGCATATATTTGTGTCCTGCGTTATCAGAGAGAGACGTCTGGGTGTTTACCAGCAGCGTTCCACTTGCTCGTCTGTCCTGACTTGACCTGCTTATCTGCTGCAGCCCGATTGCAGCCGCCGCAGCTCCGTATAGACCCTGTCGACGATGACTCCGCTGCTTTTTTTTAACATTTATTTATGTCCTATGTCCTCGTCATTGCACTGGCACAGCAGACTGCGCATCAGCTTGACGTGTGAAACCAAAATAAGGCCGCGCGGTTGGTCCCCGCTGGCACAGCTTCCTTCCCATTTCTGACTGCAACCGCTCTCAATCACGCCTATGATGACTTTGTTTCCTTCTCGAGAATCGCGAAAAACCCGACAGGCGTTTTGTTTTTCCCGCATATCACCTGTTTACAGGAAATCTGACTCTGGTCTTGTAAAGCCAGCTCTCTGGTATGTTTGTGCCACTTCAGTTGAAAAAAGGATTTGCAGCTCTATTTTTAACCTCCGCAGACACACCATGTCTCTCCTGTGCTCTCGCTTTCGTTTCTCACTCAGTGATGCTGAAAGTTTGCAGATTGATTTCTACAAACAGGATTGTCTTACAGGGAGTGTCTGCCATCTACTGAACCTGACTTTAAATGTACATGCATGTCATGGACACAGGAGCAGGCACTCACTCTGTCAAGCTCTAATCTTCTTTCTAATTAAATTTACTCTCCCTGTGTCTTCTACTCCCAGCTGTGATGAATGACTTATTTAGCTTTGAGGACCTCTTTCCCCTCTGAGTGAAGCTCCTGTTGTGTGTGTGTGTGTGTGTGTGTGTGTGTGTGTGTGTGTGTGTGTGTGTGTGTGTGTAAGCCGGACTGAGCTATTTGAGTTATGGCAGTGTGTGTCGGTGGGAGGTGGAGCCCTCATTCCCCTGCTCTGTTACTTCACCTCCTTACCCTCTACTCCTCGTCCCCCTCTTTTCTTTCTCTAGTAACCACATCTGTTTTTTTCTGTTTTTCTTCTTTGCCCTCTCTATTCTCCTGACTCTGGCCTCCTTTTTTGACATCAGAAAAAAAATCTTGAGTCAGCAGAAACCTGAGGCAGCAAGGAGGAGAAATGCAGAGCTCTCAGTGAGCCTTTATCTTTTACTGGTCCTCTTGTCTGGACTCCTCTGCGCCCGTCCGCCCGCCTGTCTGCTTTTGAGGTATAAATCTTTTTTAGTTTATGTGGAGAACAGCCAGGGTTTCATAGGCCTGTTCATCCTGTCAATCTGCATTTTCATGCAGATTATAAACCGCACAGCGTCTGTGAACACGTGAAGTTAAGGTCATGTTAAGTCCACATCGTGTTATTGAAAATGCCTAATGAGTCAAATATTATGATTGTCACTTACAGGCAACAAATCAGAATTATTGCAGATGTGGCATTCATACAGTCTTATGATCGCGCATGACTTTTGAGCTTTACTTGCTCACATGGCACACACTGTCTGCTACATTCCTCGTGTGTGTGTGGTGACACAGTCATCAGTCATCAGGTATGCACGGGCAGCTAATAACCCACAGTAATGAGTGGGATCATTTAAGGGAGGTTCAGACCATGAAAGGAATTTGTCGCGACACATATTTTCTCGAGCTAGGCGTGCTGTAGGTGTGCTGGATGAAAAACTGAACTCCTTTGTCTGAATCGAATGACTTTTGTCACTGACGTTGGACTCATGATTATTTTATTGTTTGCTCTGAAAGTATAAAGTAGTCTTCGATGTATCCCAGGGTGACATTTCAAACCTACGCCACAAGTTTCAAAACAACAATGTACGAGTTCACGATCACATTTGATAGACAAGCGCAGACAATTCTAGCGACTTCTGGAGCTGGAACGATGAGCATTTGTTACGATTTAATGAAAAAAATGACTCATGCTAATTACATATCAAGAACACTTATATTTTGTCAGTCAGCCCGCATATTGTTTCACCTTAGTTACTAATGATAATGCACAAGGAGACGTTATGATGAAGTTATTGTTGTGGAAACTTACTTTAGTGACAATTATCATAATAAAAATAAAGTTTAAATAGGAATGTCAGTATGTTGCTTATCTAGTAGTTAAATTGACCAAGTTTTCATTTTAAGTCAGCATGACGCACAGACCTGCAAACCTATTACAACTGTATTGCCGCTAAGCTTCCGGCCATGATATAACACAACCTGATGCATATAAAGGATA